CCACTCATCTCAGCCTCCCAAAGCGCGGGATTACAGGCTGAGCCACCGAGCCTGGCTTGCTTTCATTCTTAAAAGCTGACAATATGCAGGCTAAAAGTGAAGCACTATCCCTCTAGAAATTGCTACACGTATATGTGAAATGCAGCTTTTGAACTTCATTAACACAACAAGCAGGTTTTAGCATTGTTACTGTCTGAAGCCCTTTCATAGTCTTCATAATAAATTGACTACAAAGATGTCCTCAATGTTCACACTAAGCAAAGTAACCTAGCAATGTTATTTATAGGCATATAAATGTTCCTGCAGAATACTCATAAATGTTTTCTCCCCAAATAGAACACACGTGGCTAGATTTATACCACAAATGTATACACAGTCCATATTGCTGTCTCCACATTATTTTTACAGTATAGCTGTAGTAATTAATGTTCAGAGAATAAGTCTAGATAATCAGTCCAGAAAATAAAAAGCAATACTATTCATGGAAGAGAAACAATGTTTTTCTATTTCAGTCATTCCAAAGTTCTGTAAGAATTAAACAGAACTAAAAATTTAAAGCCACACTTTCAGTTCACCACAAGGGCAACCAAGAAGGGTGACTATCAGACTATACTTTACTCCTTAACATCAGGTTGGATGAGGCAAGTGGTAAAATTAATATATTTAGGAGGAATACAAGGTCAAACCTTCAAAATACTTTCTCAAAGGGTTGCTTTGAGAAATAAAAGCTGCCAGGTAGCAAGGGCTATACAGCAAGAATGCCTGGGTTCAAATTCTTGCTCTACCAATTATTGTTTGAATTTGACTGAGTTATTTTGTTAGGAAAGCCTTCTCTGGTGTCCTTGTACGAGGCTGGTTTTTCTGAGTCCATGTTCTTCCAGCAGTACTTCTGAATGATTTTCGCAGTTGTAACTACCTATTGGTTTATTCATTTATGTCTTTCCACTGGCTAGACTACAGGGTCCATAGTGGAGAAATAGTATACAGTGTATTCTGTATGCCAGTGCTTGGCACATAATAGGATCTCAATATTTAAAGATCTCTGCTAAGGGTGCTATATCTATTTGCTAATTTAGCTGTTATAACAATTCTACAGTTAATGTTGGGAATTTTGATGGCCGACATTAGGCAGCCAGAGTGGGCATCTCCTGCAGAGTAAATCAAGATAGAGTTTCCTCAGCACCCAAAAAGAGCAACAGCACAACCTACAACTCTTCAAAGAAGTGATAATAACAACATAGTGCAAACAAGAGAAAAATCCATCAACCTGGGCTGGAGCTGGGCAGTCTCTCGTCTGCATCACCACAGACCAATGGCAGCCTCTGGATGCAGTAGGAAAGGTGAGTGAGAGGAATTCAGGAGTCCTATACTCCTGCTGCAGAACTGGAAGCCCCCAGAGCCTTGAGGGACTCCAGTCCCTTCATGGAAACTGCCTTACCCACAGCTGACCCTTGGGGGCAGCACATCTACTTTCTAACTGACCTGAGTGGAAAAGCCCCAAGGGCAAACTCCATGGCTGAAGACGGTTCTTTGTTGGGCCGGTTGTCTAAGAACACCTGAAGCCAGCTGCACTTTGACATTCACAAGAAAACTGCCTGAGACTAAACAGAAACCCTGTGACACTCACTGCTATAGCAACCTCACTCCCTGTGTAAACTCTTTTGTGCCTCCCCTGCACAGCAATGTTACCCCGGTGGCCTGGGACTCCTTCCTAATCCCCAATGGAGAAGCCATGAGTGAACTTTTGTGGGGTGCTCAAGCTCCTCTCCCCTATCTCCCACACTCCCCTCTAAGGCTCAAAATAGAGAAGCTGGGAAATCCCCAGAGTCACGCCCTCGGCCTAAGCTGGCTGGGTACTTCCTTGGAGTAACACATGCCAAGGACAAAACCCACAGCCATCACCACAGCTGGCTTTCTACCACATGTGCCGCCTCCTGGCCTGAGGTTAACATTACAGCTCAACACATCAGATATAATCCACAGCTTTGAAGAAGGCCTGATGCCAAACCCCAGCTAACACCACTTTCCAAACTCTGGCCACTGAGGACACCATGAGCCAAGGCAGGTACCTAGCACAGGACTGCCACAGCTGACAATTGAAAAATTCACCACACCAAAGCTATATATAACCAAGAATGCCCTACAGTGCATGTATCAGCCCCCTACCTCACTCAAATAAGAAGAAATAGCCTACCCAATTGAGAAAGAACCAGAAAAATAATTCTGACAATATGAAAAAACAGATTTCTCCAATATTCCCAAAAGACCACATCAACTCTTCAG